CTGTAGTTTAAAAAAAAAAAAAAAAAAATTAAAATTCTGCTGTTAGTGTCTTTTATTTTCAGCCATAAACCATGACTCCCATATTTGTGAAGGAAAGTTGATCAAAGTTGAAAACATTTTGTTAAATGGAGAACAATATATCTTTGAGTGGGTCTTGTTGGTAGGTTACTCAGTGGTTTTGTTAACTTCCTTCCTATTGGTAACATTTAGGTTTGGGTCACAGAATAGAGGCATGCCTTTGCTAATGCTTAGTCAGTGATAACAGCTCTCAGTGAATCCCTGACAGCAGTGTGACAGTGTGATGCGGTTCTCTGTGTACCCTTGATGACAGTGAGAGACTGTGTTTCAGCCCTCAGCAAGCATATCCCTGGCAACAGAAACACAAAAGCATTCACCTGACTGTTGGCATTGTAGTAGCAATATCCCATTTTACAGGTGAGAAAAGTGAGTCTTAGCTGTGGAATGTGTTCACTTGCGGGTGTGAGCCCATAAAGGACTTTCCAAAGGGCATTCTGGAGTTCAAACCCTAGTTACGCTCTTTATCCCTGTCCAGGACCCCGTGGTTTCTTTCACAGGGTAGATGCTAATAGTGGAAACTCACCTTTTGTGCAACTCTTCTAGGGATTCAGATACCCAACCGTGGGAGGTTTTCTCATTCAGATGTTTTCCATTAGCCTTTCTCTCATTAGAAGTTCTTAGGAATTTATGTTTCAAATATGTGTAAATTGTTTATGCCATTCCCTTAAGTTCTGAGAATAAAAGTTCTGCCAGTTGACTTTGAGAAAATACCTGGAATGAATTGACTTTCTCACCTGAAAAACTTTAAGATGGTGTCTCTGCAGAAGTGAATTCTGGCCCGGTGCCGTGCTGCTGCCCAGCGGCCTGCTTTGCTTCCGATGTCCTTGTTCCCTGGTTGGACACTGCAGCTGGGGACTGCCCTCGAGTCCTGCCAGCACTGTCCTTTCTCCCTATCCCTGGCTGCCTTCGTTTCCATTAGCATTTACTGTTCGTCATAAGCCACCTGGGAGCTACCATTTTGGAACAGATCCTACATTCCGAAAGCAAGTGTCAGGGTCTTTTTGGGTCTGCCAAGTATCTGTTGGCTTTGAGAGGGAGAAAAGGTGTTTCACGAGCCGTGTACTCAGCTGTGAACAGAGGGTGTGTCTGCTTTGCACGCGGAGGAGTATTTTCCCTCACTGTGCATGGATTCTTTGACAGGCAGACATGCTACATTCACTTTCCTTTTTGTGGCATTCACAGTCCAGTTTGATTATCCTCTTTTTCTGTTTCTGTCACAAAATACCCAAAGACCAACATTGTTGGTCAGAATCCAAAATGGCTGGTTTCTGGGTCTTGCCTTGTATTTTGTGGCTTAGGCTTGTCTTCTCTTCTGAAATAAGTGGGTAGTTTCTTCCTACCTATTATTTCCCTTTGTTCTATAAATGGGGGTGGGGGTGTAAATGAGGAAATGGCTCTTCCATTCAAAACAGCTTCTAGTCCCAGCTTTATGTGACATATGGCTTCTGTCCCCACTGGTCTTCATTGGTCCAAGAGGCCAGTTGGCAGAAGGTAGCAGGTCCCTCATACTGTCTGCACATTGACTGCGCGTGACAGACACTTTCCTTATGTCTCTCTCTGCTTCTTCTCAGAGTCCTGAATTTTTGTCATCGGTTGGGAGTAATAACAAATGACCTGATTATAATATTTTAAGCTCATGTTTGATATAGTGACATAGTTCAATACTCCTGTAAATTTAAGATCAATTTTATGCATCAAATTTACAGTCACATAGAAGGGATATTTTTTAGGTTGGGCACAGGAAAATGGTGGGGTTTTTTTGTTTTTGTTTTTTTGTTTTTTGTTTTTTTTTTTGTTTTTTGTTTTTCCCCTTATTTTGGGTGAATGAGTTGGTGCCATTACTCTCAAGGACTTTGAGTCACCGGTAAAAGTGAAGTGGAGATATGTGAGCTGGGGAAGGAGGCAGGAGCTGGAAAATAGTTGGGAATTGTTGAGGCCTTTGTATTCGCATAGAGCTCTGAGGAGGTGAAGTTTAGGTTGAAACCCCGCTTGAGGAGAGAACAAGCAGTGTGTGAAGGGGAAGCCCTAACAGGCTTTGGGGAGGGAAGAGCTGGGCCTGTTGGAGGCTAGCGAGCAAGTGTGATAAGCAGGGGTATGCTAGGACATGGCACAGGAATAGATGGGCCTAAACGCTTAAGAAATCCTGTTGGCCTGGTATTTGGTCAAGGATGGGGGGAGGTGCTGGAGGAAGGTATTGCTGTCACTCAGGTTGAGTTACAGAGGTGAAATGACAAAGATGGGGCACAATTCATTTATACTCCATGTATGTGTCATCTGGTGTCTGCCATGTGATGTGTCAGCCCCCTGAAGTCAAAACGTGTGGACTAAATAGAAAATAATTTCCCCTCCTTCTGGAGCTACTGTTGTGATGGAAGCGATCAGAGGACATGAGAAGACAAGCTAGAGCTAGGCTCCCAAGATGGGAAATGAAGGGGTTGGAGGTGACTGAGCATCGAACATTACAAAGAGGAAGGAGGGGATTAGTTATGAGAGAAGTCCCCGAGGATCCATTAGGTTTGGGAGGGAAGCCCAGAGGTGGGTGCTACTAGACAGCATGTGTTTCAGGGGATGCTTTTGGCCCATACTTAGCCCCAAAATACATCTACTGCCTACTCCCCATCTCAGTGAGCTTTCTAGTCACCCATTCTGTTTTCCTCCCCCATTCTGATCCACTCCCTAGCCTCCAGATCTTGTTCAACGATGCTGATGTGTAGCTTGCTCATGCCAATAAGTAAATATGTAAATAAATAAATAATGAGTCTTCCCAATTTTTGTCCTTCACTGGCACATGCGCTGTCTAGTACCTTGCTTCTGGCGAAAAATAAGACTTTGTTGACTTCTGGATCCGCCTCTTCATCTTTTAAGCGGTAGTTATGTGATCCCAAGTGAACTGTGGTTGGAAGCATCAGAGAAGAGCAAACATGCATCAGAATCTTCCAGCATGTTTGGTGCGCCAAGTCCCTTCTGTCTTAGGGGCCTTGTTTTCTCTTCAGCAAAATGAAGGACCTAGGCCAAATGAATTCATATTCTAGGTTCTCACATTTTCCTCCGTTTTCCCTGCTATCCACCTCCTTGTCATACCCCTGCAAGGTTCCTTCAGTGATGGTAATGCCTGTGGAATGTCTCCTTCCTTTTTTTTCTACTCCACTTTGAGTCTGCCCTGGATTGGCCCTCTGCAAGGCCTTTCTTGGTCCTCTCTCCCCTATCGGATCCTGTAGAGGGGCCCTGTTCCTATGAGGATACTCTCAGCCTCTTGTTTGTGTCCATGGCCTCTCTGTCACTCTGCCTATCTCTGGCTTCTGTAATATCACAGGTTGGATATTGGAATAGACTTTCCCTGTGTAGTCCACTCATCTTGCTCTGTCTTGATTGACGGTTGTTCACCATGAGTCTTAGCTGTCAGTTTTTGCTACAAGCTTCTATGCATTTCTCATGGAATCAGATTAATAAATTAACGTGGCTCAGAACACTTTATGGTGTCTGAAAAGCTTTGGTAGTGGTTGGGGTTATGAAATACTAAGGAAGTGTAATAAACCAAGCCTTGTTTTTCTGTGTTCATTTCAAATTTTTTATAAAAAGGTTCAGGGTCTAGGTTTCTAGACACTAGAAAAGCTTTCATATTAGGTGATTCTCAGAATTCTGTAACTCCAGCCTCGAAGTATCTGACACCTTCCTGTGGTTTCTGTGGGCACCTGCACTCATACACACAGGTGTGTGCATGTGTACATCCACACCCACATGCAAACACACATGCACCAGAGTTAAAAATTAAGAAAAAGAAAGTTAGTTTTGAGGCCATTTTACCAAAAGAACTGTTGTAACCTACAAATGCATGAATTAGTTCCTCTACTTTTAGGTTATGTCCTAAGAAAATGCTCTTGGATACTGGAATACTGTTTATAATTTGAAAAATTAGAGATTTTTATCTTAACAATAGGGAATCAGTTAAAAGAAAAAGGGATGTGTACTTACTAATAATTTAAAACTACTTTCCCCTTTTGAAATAAAAAATAATTAGTGAGCATGTGTGCAGTCCAGGACATCTTGCTGGAGCTTGTTCTTTTCATAGTGGGTCCCAGGGATCAAACTCAGGATTGCTCATCAAGTCCCTGCCTTTCCCTGCCGAGCCACCTCACAGGCACATAGTTTTTCTCTTCAAAAAATGATGCTATAGAAAGATGGCTTGGTTAAATGCTCAAGCAAAATAAATCTATTTACAAATGTTATGTTCTTTCCTGATTTTATGTCATTTGCAGAGAAATGATTGTTGTCATAGGTACTTGAACACTGTTTATTTGTGACTGTTGAAGATCACTAATGATTTTTTACAGGTTTTGTTATTGCCTAACTTCTGTAGGAAACATCTTCCTCGATTAACACAGCATATTGTGTTAAAGTTGGAAGTGTATTCCTCTTCGTTCATACGATCTTTTGTTTGGTTATTTCTTCTGTGCATATCAAGTGGTGTCTGCTGTCCAGGTCACAGTAACTTAAGTTCCTGAGTAGACGTCACTGTTTGATATCCATCGAGGTGGACGCCATAGTACGTTCTTGACTCTTGGCTGTCGAGCTTTTGTCTAGGTATTGCTAGTTTGCCCTCTGCAGAAAAAGTGGAGACTGAGAAGCCTGGCAGCTTTGGGCTAGCCTGAGTTGTATCCTGGACTTTTGCCTTGAACTGAAAGCTGTTAGTGAGCATGTTGCACTGTATCTGGGTCACTGTAGGTGTATGAGTGACAGTAACCCGGTCGATGTGCAAATGTGTAGTCTGCAGGCTGTATCTTACTAGTCCACACTGAAAAGCTGAGTTGCCTTTTGTGGTAATACAGGTTTCATAGAAACTCACTGTTTGGGGTTCTGGAAAGTCATTTTAAGAATGATCTCTGTTTAACAATGTCTGACCTTGCCCTCTTGTTTCCCTTAAGTTTGTGGGCCCGGCATTGACATCCGCAATGACTACCAGCAGCTGAAGCGCCTGGAAAACTGCACAGTGATTGAGGGCTTTCTCCACATCCTGCTCATCTCCAAGGCTGAGGACTACCGAAGCTACCGCTTTCCCAAGCTCACGGTCATCACTGAGTACTTGCTGCTGTTTCGAGTGGCTGGCCTCGAGAGCCTGGGAGATCTCTTTCCCAACCTCACTGTCATCCGTGGCTGGAAACTCTTCTACAACTACGCACTGGTCATCTTTGAGATGACCAATCTCAAGGATATTGGACTTTATAATCTGAGGAACATTACTCGGGGGGCCATCAGGATTGAGAAGAATGCGGACCTCTGTTACCTCTCCACTATAGACTGGTCTCTCATCTTGGATGCAGTGTCCAATAACTACATTGTGGGGAACAAGCCCCCAAAGGAATGTGGGGACCTGTGTCCGGGGACCTTGGAGGAGAAGCCCATGTGTGAGAAGACCACCATCAACAATGAGTACAACTACCGTTGCTGGACCACGAATCGCTGCCAGAAAAGTAAGAGTGCGCAGACACGGGACTTCTGTTTTCTGCTTCTTGCTCATTTTCTCCTCCTCCCACTCCTTCTCTTCCCCCTCCTTCTTCTTCCCCTCCCCCCCTCCACTCCTCTGTCAGGGCAGGGGGAGGTTCTCTCACATTTCCACACTGCCTTGTGGAAATGTTTCCTGAGGATGGGGAGGGTGCTCTCCTGTGTAGATGGGAACCCTGAGAGTACCGGACTGGAGCCTGTATGGAGGCTACTGCGGTTGCTGTCAAGCCTGGTTAGAAATAATTCTCTGTATTTGGGGGCTAGAAGTTTACTAATCTTTACCTTCTCTGGTAAGAAAGGTGACTTGGTATGCTTTGTAAGTTCCTGACTCTGGATGAGCAGGATCTTCTAACAGATCAATTCTTGTATCCTTTGTGTAAAGGGATATGTAGCATCATCATCATCATTTTTGTAGAGCAAGAATTCCTTCTCACAGACAAACTTGGAATATAGTTGAATAGAGGAAAATCATAGCACTCCCCAGTGTCCTGTGAAAGTGACCCATGACTCTCAGAACATATGTTTAGGAGACCTGGTTTAATATGGAACACTTGATAGAGAGGAGGCCAATGCACTCATTTCCAGGAGCCCCTGGTTCAATCCCTGCTTGAGACAGCTCTATAGGAGGGTGTCTTTTTTTGAACCCTTGGGCTTTCATTTCCTTTTTTCTATACCTGTTGTGAAAGTCTTATGCAGTTGCTTAGTGAAAGGAACTTGAAAAGCATTCAGCTGTCCCAGAGTCACATGGTAGTACTTGAAGCTTGTTTGTTTACCTACAGCACACATAATTTTCTTTGTAGTATACCTGAACTCTTATTCTAATGTGATAAATGCCATGATAATCAAGTTGTTTTGTTTGTTTGTTTTAGCTAGAATCTAGCTGTGGCTCAGGGCATTTGCTGCATTGCAATCAATAATTCAACAATATTTAGACATAGTGGCCAGCAAGGTTTCCCTTACTGGCTTCCCTCAGCATTCGGTATTATTTAATGGCTGACCCACTTAAAGACCCAAAGAATTCATGTACCCTAACTACTTATGAAGCGCTCCCTCAAAAAAACAAAAACCCCACATGATGGGCCTGTCTAATCTGTGAAGCATGTATAATCAACAAATGCGAGGTCAGCCCTCATAGGTAGCCCTGATTTTAACATCCCTTTGATCAGAGCCCAAATAGGAAGTTAGGCCCTGCTATACTTTGCTGGGGGTGGGGTGGGGTTGTGGGGTGTGAGGTGAGGTATGTGTATATGGGGGTGTGTATATGGGAGCTTTAGTAGGGGCCTAGACCCCATTGGCCAGTATCTTGAACTGAGTGAAAGATATTTTCCTAGCTGATTAAAAAATTTCCTGTCTTTGTCTTAACTGTGGTTTGAAAAAAAAAAAAAAAAAACGGTAACCTTTTTGGTTGTTTTTGAGATAGGGTCTCAATCTGTAGTTTTGGCTGGCCTAGAACCTGCTACTTTTGAATTCATGGGAGTTCTCCTGCCTCAGCCCTGCAAGTCCTGGGATTACAGGAATGAGTTATTTTGCCCATTATAAACAAATTTCTGTTTGTATTTTTTAGTTTTTTAAACTGTTTAATGTGTTTGGGTATTTTGTCTACAAGTATTACTGTTCACCACAGGAGTATGTTTGTGATGTCCTTGGAGGGACCAGAGTTAGAGCCAGCTGTGAGTTGCCATGTGGGTGCTGAAAATCAAACCTGGGTTCTCTGAAAGAGCAGCCAGTGCTTAAGAGAGGAGCCATTTTCCCATTTGTTTTAAAGGAGGCTTGGCATTTGAAAATTTTTATCTTAAAAAGCATAATCAGAGATTTGGATTCAGAAATGAGAGTTCAGGGTGACTGTCCTGGCCAGATGGGCTCAACTGTGGTTAGGCTGTTCCTAGAGCCATTACATTACCCTTTAATGGTGACTGAACTAAGTATAGACAGGCAAGTGTTTGGGAAGCTTATAAGCTGTGCACAAAAGGGAAATACTGTTTACAGCATCATTAGATAATACCTGTTCAGCTATTCACAGCCACCTTTGTCTCACCATGGCTTTTTAGCAGTTTCTGAAGAAGTTCAGGGCAGAGATAAGGCCTGTGTTCTGGGTCAAAGTCTAAGGTCCATAGCCAGAAATTACCAAGTCATTTAAATTGCGTAGGCCGTAGTTTCTTCATCTTCAAAATGGCATGGATTCTGCTTCCCTCATAGAGTTGATTGAAGCTTAAAAAGAAAACAATGAACCAGGGTTAGGGGGTTGGCACAGTCCTTTAATCCCAGCACTCAGGAGACAGAGACAGGTGGATTTTTGTGGGTTCAAAGCCAGCCTGGTCTACATAACAAGTTTCAGGACAAGCTCCAAAACTACAGAGAAACCCTGTCTCAAAAAACCAATGGGGGGAAATTGAGCCCTGGTGCTAGAGTGCCTGTTGACTGAAACTGATCTTCCCAAGGCCGTGCTCTGAAGCTTTTTTCTTGGCCAGCTGTTACATTTCTGGTGACGTGTTTAGTGATTTCACAATGGAGTACTTGCTTAAAAACTCTTGAGTCCATTCAAGGATATTGTCTTCTTACCTTGTCCTGAAAACTCAGCCATAGTCACAGGTTCCTGCGGGTTCTCAAATTCTGATAGACTTATTTTCCTCTGCCTCAATTCCTATACAGTATGCCACCATGTGTATAGGAGCCACTAGCTGTGTGTGCCTGAGCAGTATGTCCTGCCTCAAGGAAGACCTGCTGTTGATGTAAAACTTCTAGGATGTAGTATAAGAAAAATACTTGAAAGATTTCATGCAGGATTTTTTAAAAAGTTAATTCTATGCTGAAATATACTGTGATGGATATACTCAAAAAAAAATAAAATGTGCTATTAAAAAAATCAGTTCACATGCCTCCCTTTTCTTCTAGACGTGGCCACTAGAATGTTTGTAACACAGATGGCTGGCATTGCCTTTTCTCTGGGGAATGCAGCTTCAGCGGCTTCCTTTGAGGCTAAGTTCTTTCCTTCATCGTCTCTAGACAACTGGTTTCAATCATACTGTCCATCCTGCCCATCTCCAGTCACAGCCCAAGATTGATTATCATTCAAGGACCGAGGGAAGGGCCATTGAGTCCTCAACAGAGTGCCCACCTTGAGTTCACATAAGTCATTTGAAATGAATGTGCAAAAAATTCCATTAAGCTGTCTCCTGCTGACTGATGGCAGAAGAGGGAAAACATCAACATCTGGAGAGAAATACCAAAGGGGTAACTCTTGATTGTGCATTACTAATGGGCTGCTCTTACTTGATGTCTGCAGCCTTCTTGGGCCATGTCTGCTGGCCAGCAGTGTGGAGAAGGAAGCCCACTAAAGAGGGGCCACTCTTGTAGCTGCATTCTCTGTATTTGTGAGGTGTCTTCATGTGTGATCATTGGGCCTGCTTTCCTTGTTTTGAAATGGCTTCTGCTTCTCCATCTTCCCCTGTAGCTGCTGCTTTGTCAGCCTTTTCTTCATCTAGACTTTAGGAGATGATGGTTTCCAATGAAATGTAGTCTGTTTGGGCTGCTGTAAACAAAATTTCACAAGCTCCATGGCTTGTAAACAATGGATTTTTTTCTCACAGTTCTGGAGGCTGGAGGTCTAAGGAAAGGTGCTGACAGGTTCTTTGTCTGATGAGGGCCTACTTTCTGGGTGCCCCTCATCTCCCCCCCCCCACACACACGCTTTTACATAGTAGAAAGCAGTAAGGCAACTTTTCTGGTGTCTCTTTCCAGAGGTAACTAATCCCACTTATGAGGGTTCCACCCTCGTGACCTAATCACGAATCCTCACCTCTAAACACCATGTTGTCAGACACTAGGTTTTGGCATGTGAACTTTAGAAAGCAACTATTCAGACTAAGGCAGGCAGGGCCAGAGTCTCAAGCCTTTCTCCCCCTTCATTATTTTTACTGGCCCTTTAGCATCCTCTTGTCATTATCTAACTGGCCATTTCCATCTCAAGTCCAGGATGGTTTTTGAACTTTTTTGTTTGTTTTCGAGACAGGATTTCTCTGTGTAGTACTGGCTGTCTCGGTTTGGATTTCTATAACTGTGAAGAGATAACCATGACCACAGCAACTCTTATATTTAACTGAGGTGGTGGCTTACAGTTTCACAGGTTTACTCCATTGTCATCATGGTGCGCAGCATGTTCACATGCAAGCAGACATGGTGGTGCTGGCTATATCTTGATGAGAAGACAACAGGAAGTGGACTGTGACACTGGGAGTAGCTTGAGCATAGGAAACCCTAAAGCCCACCCCCACAGTGACACACTTCCTCTAACAAGGCCATGCCTCTTAATAGTGACATGCTCTTTAGGGGACATATTCTTTCAAACCACCATACTGGCTATCCTAAAACTTGAACTCAGACATCCATCTGCCTCTGCCTCCCGAGTACTGGGATTAAAGGCACCTACCACCACAGGGCTTCTTTTTTAACTGTTTTTTCCTTGCACGGTCCATTTATTTCCTTATAGTGCTTTCTGGAACAGAGAAGGAACACACCTTTTTTTCCTGAGCTAGCTTTTGGAAGAGAAAATGTCACTTCTGTCACCATGCTGTGTCCTGAGGTTTAGAGTCTTCAGAGACAGTTTCTTGTCCTTGCTGTTGCAGCTGCCACATCTCAGCATACACACTACTTTGGGATAACAGAGCTTTGTGCCTTCCCCTCCATGGTGCAGCTGTCTTTGATGCCGAGAGTTTGGTCAGCACTGAACACAGTTGAGAGCCTGTGTGCTGCTGCAATGGTGGTGTGGTTGGTGCAGACTTAGGCCAGAGAGGCCTGGATGGATGGATCAAAAGAGGCTGGCTCACTAGATGTATCCACTGCTGATGTTGCCTCACCCAGCAGAATGTCGTCTGGAGCCTTAAGAATGGTGCGGGCGATGTCCCCTTGCTGCTTCTCACCACTGCTTAGCTTCAGTCCCCGCTTGCCCACCTGTGTGTCATACCCTTCAGGG